AGGCATGGCAGAAGATGTCATGGACATCAGATTGTTGGAGAGAAGGTATCTATATGTAAAGTGAAGTTCTGTTTTAATTCTATGATAAATACATTCAATTCTCACAGTTTAAAACTGCAATTTTTAGAAAAAAGTTGCCATGCACACATACAATATTGGGATGATCAACAAAGGGAAATACATAATTTTTTAGTGTATTGACACATTTTCTGTGTTATTACACAAGTTGTTGCCCCAGCAGATGCCAAATCACTTTAAAAATGCAGCAGTTTCTATTATTGTCCAATAGTGTGCGCCATAATAATCAAGCAATGTCAATGTCCCAAGTTAACAATGATTCTAATATTTACTCTATTACCACAGTGGTGTAAATACATTAGTGAGGAGGGATAGATAGCGAGGAGCAGCACTGCACATGGGAGAGGATAGGTGAATGCGTATGGACGGATAGTGCACCACTATCATGCAACAAATGAATGAATTGTCATGCAACACTATAGGGGGGATTTACTAAAACTTGAGAGTGCAAAATCTGCTGCAGCTCTGCATAGAATACAATCAGTTTCCAGGTTTTAATCTCAAAGTTTAACCGCTTCCCAACCAGCCTATAGCAGAAATACTGCTACAGGGTGGCACAGGTGCGCAAAAATCATATATACGTGATTTTACATCTCCAGGTAGGGGGCACGCATGAGGTTCGCGCACGCACTACCAGCATCGCCATTCGCGGCCGCGTCTGTCAATCACCGGGTCCCGGTGATTACTGAGGATCTCCAATAGGGAGGAGAACTGTTTTGTTTCCTAACAGTTCTCCCCCTGTCAGCTCGGGCACACTGCTTTTGATGGCTGTGCACAGTGTGCTTACAGTGTGCTTACAGTGAAGCACACAGACACAGCCCCATAGTAAAACACACCCGGCACACAGCTAACCCTTTGATCGCCTCTCATGTTAACCCTTCCTGCCCAGTGCCATTGGTACAGTGTTAGTGCTTTTTTTTTTTAGCACTGATCACTGTATTGGTGTCACTGGGGAAGTCAATTCCCCCCCAATGTCAGAATGTCCACCGCAGTCCCGCTATAAATCGCTGATCGCCGCCATTACTAGTAAAAATGAAAAAAAAAAATTCTAGTATATACACCGCCATTTGTAAATGCTATAACTGTCACGTGTAACAGAATACATTTTGGCCTAAATTTATGAAGAAATTTGGATTTTTTGTAATTTTTTTACTGGACATGTTTAATAGCAAAAAGTCAAAAACATTTATTTTTCTCAAAGTTGTTGTTTTTTTTTTATAGCGCAAAAAATAAAAAACGCACAGGCAATCAAATACCACTAGGAAAGCTCAATTCGTGGGAAAAAAAAGGACGTAAATTTCATTTGGGTGTAGCGTGGTATGACCGCGACATGGCATGGCAAAAAAATGGCCTGGTCAGGAGGGGGGGGGGGTAAATACTCAGGAGGGCTAGTGGTTAATTGAACGACCTGAATTTAGAAGCTGATTGAAGCAATGCACCAGATTCTGAGTGCACTAATTTTAGTAAATCTCCCTCCATATTGGCCAATTTTTCTTGAGTCTTTGTTAACCACTTCCTGTCCGGCGATCCAGTGCCCACTGTGTCCTCTGTGTGAGGTCCCGATCATGTGATCACTGATTGGCCAATCACTGATCACATGAATAGTAGTAAGCAAGATGTCACTTCTGACATCATTGTTTACTACCTGTGAAATCTGTGAATGATCACAGAGGTCACATGGTACAGGGCTTTTCACAACAGCCTTGTACCATGTTACAAGCTGTGACCAATCATAGCTCACACAGTATTTCTCAATGGCTGAAAGAATCAGTGTAAAAAAAAAAAAAAATCTTCATCACCCCCCAAGTAGTACAGTGTCACTATGGTGACACTGTACTGCTAGGGTGACAGTATGTTAAAAAAAAAACATAAACAATAATATAGAAAAATTAAATAAAAATGTAAAAAAAAGTTTTGAAAAATTATAATTTTTGGTTATAAACTAATGTGGGTTATTTTTTTTACTAAAAAGATAACTGAATAAATTTTGGCCAAGATTTATGAAGAACTATTATTTATTTGATAAATTTTATAAGAAAAACACTTTTTTAAAAAAATTTTTGGACTTTTTCATTAATATAGCAAAAAAAATTTAAATTCCAGTGGTGAATAAATACCACCAAAATAAAGTTTTATCTGTGTCAAAAAAATGCTAAAAAAGTCATATGGGTACAGTGTTGCATGACCGCCCAATTGTCATTCATGGTGTGACAGCGCTGAAAGCTGAAAATTGGCCTGGACAGGAAGGGGGGAAAAGTGTCCGGACTTGAAATGGTTAAACCCCCCATTGTGTGTACACTACAGCTTAGGCAAGGCCACAGAAAGTAGTAAACCACAAATAATGAGAAATGCCTGAAGAAATGTAGCATCTGCTTTAGAAAAGGTGCTTTGAAAGGTTACACGTCAGTGCAATCCTTTGCCTTGGATTAACCCTCTTTTGTTAGTGAATCTCAGGCTCATGGACGGAAACTTTCAGATAATCCCCACCTCCCTCTAATTGGTGAACTTTCAGTCACTGGCCTTTACATTCCCAGATAAAGAAAAACCTAAATAATAACCTTTTAGTCGCAGAGATAATCTGCTAGGTACTGTAGTACCATGACACAGTTTGTCGTCTTGCTCGCTCACCAACTGCTGTGTACACCTTTGGACGGTGATCTGTGCACACACCCTGCAGTCTCCGCAGCTTTTCTGGGAGGCAGCAATTAAAGGGTGTCCCAGGCTCAGCTCTGGTTTCATCTGCACTCTCACACCTGTCTGCAAACCGCTGGCGTCCCATGTGACTGTCACAGCCTCAGGTGACAGGTGAGCGTCTCCATCCCTCCCCCAGTCCTCCTCCAGCCCGGGGGTTCAGGTAGACCTCCACCCCTACATCAGCCTGGCCTCACCACCGTGCCCCAAGTCTCTGATTCCCTGTAAAGTGGCTCTAAGTGGCCCCTGTCAGTATGTCATCGCCAACTGTGGAATCCCTTTCTAGCAAGAAGCAGGGGCTGAAGAAACGACTGCTGAGGTTCTTCTCCAGAAGCGAGGGAAATTTAAAGGAGAAAGCCAGGAGCCGCAGTGAGGGGGACAAGAGCCCTGCTGGTGACAATCATGTGGAGAAGAAGGTCAGGAGCAGCTGGAGCGAGAAGAGGGGGAGGAAGGACAGGTAAGGGGGATCACTGGGGTACACCATGGGGCCACACTGCATAGCATTACATGAAATGATAACATACTATGATGCCATCATCTTGTGCAAAGCTTGCCATACACCAGTAGAATTTTGTTCAAAAAAATTGTTTTACATAGTTAGCCTGGCTGAAAAAAGACAAAAGTCCATCTAGTTCAACCAAAAAGTTATAATCCTATACCCACATTTGATCCAGAGGAAGGCAAAAAAAACCCAGCAATGCACGATCCAATTTGCTCCCGCAGGGAAAAAAAATGTCCTTCCTGATCCCCCGAATGAACTTTCATTTTTTTTAATAGTTAATCAACAATCATTTCTGACTATATTGACAAGGAAAATTGAAGACTAGGGATGGAAAAAGTTAATTGAACTCACAGAATTGTAACTGAGAGTTCATTCAGGAAAAATGATACTTGTGTATGTGCACCCCAAAATACCCAGTAATGTGTATGTGCACCCCAAAATCAGACATAGAATTTGAAACATTGAAGAATAGAATTTGAAAATTGAAGAATAAGGATGGAAAAAGTTAATTGAACTCACATAATTGTAACTGAGAGTTCATTCAGGAAAATGATACTTGCGTACGTGCACCCCAAAATACGCAGTAATGCGTATGTGCACCCCAAAATCAGACATAGAATTTGAAATATTGAAGAATAGAATTTTAAAATTGAAGAATAAGGATGGAAAAAGTTAATTGAACTCACAGAATTGTAACTGTGAGTTTATTCAGAAAAAATGATACTTGCGTATGTGCACCCCAAAATACGCAGTAATGCGTATGTGCACCCCAAAATCAGACATAGAATTCGAAACATTGACATGGCAATTAGGTAAAAAATTTTGGAGTTTTTATACAAAATTTGTTGAGTCTATAATGGTACTGTCAAATGCTCTGACAAACTATTTTTATGAATTTGGGAATGTTTGAACAAAATTCTACAGGGGAGTGGCCAGCTCAATATCACTTAGGGACCATCGTTCCGTAGAAGCTAGGACATATAATTCTTCAACAGAAGGAGCGGAATAACTAGCTTCCAATTGTTCTAGAATGTTATTATACTGTACAGGCAATATAGTGATGAAAACTATGGCTAAGTCACCTGTCATCTTGTGTATGTACAAGATTGCTTATGGACTTCTAGAAAAACGTGGACATCTAGTTCTCCATCATCAGAAAAGCAACTAGACTCCATTTAGCATTGAATATAAATACCATTTACAAGCACTATTGAGATAAAATCATACTATGATTGGACCATCATACGGTGTAAATACCAAATCACATAGCTCTTACCAGGGGCGGACTGACCATTTGGAAACTCGGGCACTGCCCAAGGGCCGGGGTCAGTAGGGGGCCCCATGAGATGCCCCCGGTACCTTTTTCATAGGCTTTTTTGAGTTTGGGCAAGGACACAGGGGCCCCATGATCCCCTATTGCCCGGGGGCCCCATGAGTTGTCAGTCTGCCCCTGGCTCTTACCACTTCAATATCGGGCACTTTTACCCCCTTCCTGCCCAGGCAAATTTTCAGGTTTCAGCGCTGTCACACTTTGAATGACAATTGCGCGGTCATGCAACACTGTACCCAAACTAAAATTTTATCAATTTGTTCACATAATTAGAGCTTTCTTTTGGTGGTATTTAATCACCGCTGGGGTTTTTATTTTGTGCTGTTTTTCTTTGTTTCTGTTATAAAAGTTTTCAAATAAATAATTGTTCTTCATAAATTTAGGCTAAGATGTATTCTGCTACATGTCTTTGGTGAAAATAACCCAAATCAGTGCTTATTATTTAGTCTGTAGGAAAGCTATAGAGTTCACAAACTATAGTATATATCTGAAAATTGATCGATCCTGAAGAACTGACGGCCAATCTAATTTTTGAGACCCAAAAATGTCAAAACAGTACAGATATCCCCCAAATGACCCCTTTTTGCAAAGTAGACAGTCCAACATATTTCATATGAGGTATGGCGAGTTTTCTGAACTTGTATTTTTTTTTCATAATTTTTCGGAAAAAGAAGAAATTAAAAAAATTATTTTCACTTTTATTTTTTACATACTGTCACAAGTGCAGTGCAGCATCATCATATAATTGGTGAGGCAGTGATTGGGGACACTGGTGACAGTACAAAAAAAAAAAAAAGATAATTTTTTTACATTTTGTTTTATTTTTTGTTTATTTTTTATTACATTTTTTCTTTTTTAAGATTTTTTTTTTCATATTGCACTGTTACCAAAGTAGTATAATGTTACCATAGTAACATTGTACTACTTTGGGGAAGTGATCAGTATTTATTTATTTTTTTACACAATTTGATTGCTTATAGCAAAGCATTTCTTTGTAAGCAAGCATTTAACTGGATGAAATCGATTCACTCAGGTTTTTTTTGTTGTGATCAGCTGTGATTGACCACGGCTAATCACATGACACAGATGGGCTATGATTAGCCCAGCCTGTGCATGTGATCGCTGTGACCATTCACAGCTAGACACACTTGTATACAATGGATGGCATGAAAGGAAGCCATCCACTGTATACAACTGTCATGTGACCTGCTGTGATTGATCACATCAGGTCACATGGTACTGGCAACGGGGCCGGTACACAGATCTGTCATCGTCCGTGTCCAAGGTACACGTCTGTTGACATTTCTTGCCACAGCTTGGCCCTGGGGGCACGCGCAAAGCGTGATCCAGGAAGGACATTATTTGATGCCCTTGCGGACGGACGAAGTGTTTGCCCGGCCATAGACCGAGTGGGAAGTGGTTAAACAGTTTACAAAGACATTTAACCTTCTATTATTATGGCACAGCCATGCTCAACCAGAGTACCATAGGGTTTCTCCAGAGGGTTCTAAGGGTTCCTTGAGCTGTGGCTGACTGACCTCCTATCTGTTGATGCCTACATCGTTCCGGGTCCAACACCAATTGGCAGAGTCAGCAGCATGACAGGGATGATCTTGATGAATTGTCTGTAAGGATGACATTATGCGCACCACTGTAATGAAAGTATTCTTCACTGGCCACTAAAATACGGAACTTTTTCCCAATCCTCCTGTTTAATTTAGGGGGGTTCTCTAAGGCCTGGAAATTATTGTAAGTGTTCCTCTGGGGTATACTGGTTATGAAAAGCTGGTATAGAATATGATCATGCTTTACACGCTCGGTTACATGTTTCTTTACAGAATTAACTGACATTACAGTTGTGCGTTATGTACTGTAAATATGGATATAACATCCATGTCTTTATGCGGGACACTATGACTATTTCCTTAGACAGAGAAACTTACTTTAGCTAATATATAGAGGTATTTTCTCCAATATATTGATCATATCTGTTTATAACAGATTGGTGTATGTTTTTGTATTTCTGCGAACAACCAGGATAAAGGGTAAATTATGTAAAAATTGGTATAAAAATATATTTTTAATGATGCCCTATAATCTGGCTGACATTTTTGGGAGGGGGTGTTTAATCCAACTGAATGTGTTTATCTAGGGTACACTGGCACGTGTAGTTGTTCAGATATGGGAGAAACAAGTGTCTTGCTGGTACATGTAGTTGCACAAAGACACATTGGAATCCAATAGTACATGCAAGCACTTATACCTGTACAAACAGGAAAAACATTTGCCTTCAGCTATACTTTCTAATGTGATATTCTTGAGATGATCATGGGGGTCTTTCAACACTTTTTTTTCTGTTTATAAAATGTGATATCCATATTTCTTTTTGATAAATTAATTTGTTCTGTATGGAGTTTGGAAATGGAACTAATAAGAAGCAAGGCACTGGTTTATAAAATGGTATCATTCTTCTGTTTCTGCTATTTATTTAAAAGAACCTGGTTTACTAGTATTGGTAACCAGCAGAGGCATCACTAGGGTTGGTGTCACCCGGTGCGGTAACACGTGGTGTCAACCCGGTCCCGGGCTCTGTGTTGGGAGATGGAAGGATGTCCTTTGCAGGGACCGGCCAGTGATGTGTGATGCAGAGGGGCGTGCTCTGGGCGGGGTCATTACCATTCATGGACTGACATGTAGAGGGCGGGGGCGGGCTCCAGTGCACGGGGGACAGGCAGGGTTTGAATTGGCCTGCAGCAGCTGCTGTAATCCCCCCCCCACCAGGACCCGACATCTCACCCCCCGCATTGCACGGCTGTTCCTGGGGCTGCAGGAGGGATGAGGAGCCCTGGTACTCAGGGAGAGGACGGGGGACACTCTGCTCAGATGGATGACAGCCACTGACAGCTCTTCTTTTCATTTTGGTGTCACCCCCTGTGATGGTGTCCCCCGGTGTGGCCCGCACCCCCCGTAGTGACGCCACTGGTAACCAGTGAGAAGGATGAGATTTGGCATCTGGCCGCTTTCTCATCATGCTGTCATAAATGAATTGGTCCAGTAGCAATGCTGCTGATCTGCTTAGAGGTTCCCTTATAGAAGCAATATTACAAAGAACAGAAAAAAATTGCTGGTCAGGAGAGATTAAAGTAGAACTATACAAAAAACTTTTTTTTTTTTCAGTTTGTATAGAGTAAGGGAGGGTTTTAACTGTCAGATTTTTTTTCCCTCATCTGTGTCCCATTGTGGAGATTTCCTTTCACTTCCTGTCCCGTAGACAAACAGGAAGTGAGAGGAAATCTCTGCAAATTAATGGAATCCCTTTGTGGACCTCCAGGTCACCAAAACTAGTGTCCCAATTGGAAGATTTCCCCTCTATTACTTTACTACAATCCAAAATGTAGGATTTTCTTTTACTTTCACTTTCAACGATAATGGTAAACAGGACAGATAGAGAAGGTGAATCTACTTAAAATCTCTACTCTAAAACTGACAGGGGTTTTAATCTACACTGTCCAAAACTGACAAAAAAAAACTTTTGCCTTTAGGTATACTTTAAAGCTAATCTGTTTTTTAACCCTGCATAGCCAAAATACTGATTTGCTTTTTGGACCATTCACGCTCCTCCGTTCCCGTGTGATGCGTTAGCGCACATACCTGTTGGATAAGATATGTCATCAGCACACAAATAAGCTTGCAAATTGAAAAGCTCTCCTGTTTTTTATTTAATCTTTTCTTAAACTTTTTTTTCATTACAAAAACACAAAATATCATTTACATCCAAAATAAAACATTCCCCTAAATTTTGCAATCCCATCTCCCCATTACCCCCCTCCCCCAAACCCCCTAACAATTTACCCCAGTACATATAACTCTTCCCTTCTCTTTCCAACTTTCCATTCTATACCTTTGATCTTTCTCCTCAATCCTCGCTTCCCAACTCTTCCTTTTTCTTACTATTCTTTCTTTCCTCTGCAACCTCTCTTTTCCCTTCTCCTATTCCTTCTACTGCCTTACAAAACATTCCCTTTATTCTTCTACTTCCAATCAGGTTCCTGGACCTCCCACTACTTCCATATATTTTCCAGATGCCTTGAAGTCAGACCATCTTTCCTAGTCCTTTCTAAATGTATCCATATTACCTTCGTCTATGTGGTATAACTCCTCCATCCTATTTATATATTCCACCATGTCTAACCAGTCCGAAAAGCTCTTTATTGCAGAATCACACAGAAAGGTGACAGGACAGCACAGTGGCTAAATGGTTAGCATTTCTGCCTGGCAATACCAGGGTCGCCAGTTCAAATCTCAACCATGTCACCACCTGTCTGGAGTTTGTATGCTCACCCTGTGCCTGTGTGGGTACTCTGCTTTTTCCTCCCACACTCCAACGACATGCTGGTAGGCAGGGGCGGACTGACCATTTGGAAACTCGGGCACTGCCCAAAGGCCTGGGGTCAGTAGGGGGCCCCATGAGATGCCCCTGGTACCTTTTTCATAGGCTTTTTTGAGTTTGGGCAAGGATCCCCTATTGCCCAGGCCCCATGATATGTCAGTCCACCCCTGCTGGTAGGTTACTTGGATCTTGTCTAAAAAAATTGTCCCTATTATGTGTACATTTGAATGTGACTCAGGGATATTAGATTGTACATTCCTTGAGGGTTAGGGACGGATGTGAATGTACAATGTATGTAAAGTGGTGCGTAAATTGACAGCGCTATACAAGTATCTGTAATAATAAATAATTTACTGAAGGCAATTAGACTGTGCACTTTGCAAAGTGCAATTGCACTCTGCAATTGCAGTTGGTCCAGAGCTTGCACTCAATGGTGGTGATATGTAAAGTGCTAGATCTTGACTTATTTAGCAAAATTCATTTTTGGGGCTCACAGGGTGTCAAGAGGTATCTTCCAGGTATATGAGTTGGAACTTGCAGGTCCACATAGCAGTTAAGTAGCTGTATCTGCACAGGTGTGGATTAAACCACGTTTTTATCATAACTCATTTATTTTCTGGCATGTTTCACAAAAAATCGGACAAACTGACTGCTGCCAAAAAAGCTGGAAGCAAAACACCAAGTGCACAGTACAGTAACCCACAGCAATCAGATAAATCAGATATCCGAGAATATCAGATGTTTTCTAACTGGTTGCTTTGAGTATTGCAGTTTGCACATTTAACTTTTTTCCTTGAATTCTTTTAATAAGCCTACAGACAAAAAAAAATGTTTTCCCTGAGCGGCTGTTTACATCTGCATGCCTGCTCTGACCTTTCCAGTATTCTTTTGCTGTGAGTTGATTGGCTGGGTTGCCAATTGCTATTGCTTCCCCAATAATTGTACATTAATCTTTCAATGGCTAGATTATTATAGGTACTTATATAGTGCCATCAATTTACACAGCATTTACATTCACATCAGTCCCTCAAGGAGCTTGCAGACTAAGGTCCCCAACTTACACATACTAGGGCCAATTTAGACAGGATCCAATTAACCTACCAGCATGTCTTTGCAGTGTGGGAGGAAAACAGAGTACCCAGAGGAAACCCACACAGGCACAGGGAGAACATGCAAACTCAAGGCAGGTGTTGCCATAGTTGGGATTCAAACCAACGACCCTAGTACTGCCAGGCGGAAGTACTAACCATTTGGACACTGTGCTGCCCTATTTTGCATACATATTGGCCACCGTCTAATATCCGAAGGTATCTTTAAACTTTGAACA